GTCGGCCAGTCTGAAGTGCAGTCGGGCGGTCTCGGGCTCCCTTCAGCTCCGCCTCCAGGGTCACGCCATTGTCCTGCCTCAGCTTACCGAGTAGCAGTGGGACTGAGGTGCCCACGCACATGGCCTGGCTAATTTTTTTTGTCTTATTTTGGTAGAGACGGGTTTTTTGCCTGTGTAAACCAGGATGGTCTCGATCTCGCTTTGACCTCAGTTGATCTGCCCACTTGGCCTCCCAAAGTGCTGGGTACAGGGGGGGGGGCTGAGCACTGCACCTGGCCGATATATTTTTTTTTTCATTCAGTCTGACAGTCTGTGTCTTTTAAGTTGGAACAGTTCATTTACATTAAATGTTATTACTGCTATTGGGTTTAAATTCATCATCTATATGTATTTGTCTTTCGTTCAATTTCTGTGGTTTATTTTTCTCTCTTTTTCTTGCGATTATTGATCTGATTATGTGATTTTTGAAAAATCAATTTCCATTTTTCACACTTCTCCGTAGATTGGGAGATTATGTCCTATTTTCTGTTTCTTTTTAGAGTTATTGTGTAATGTTCCTACTTATCCGAATAATGCTAGTTTATACCTTATATCTTTCTCCTGACAAATCATAGTTTCTTAGAAGCTTGAACTTAAGAGCCCCCTTCCAGTTCATATGTGCTTATTATTTGCACTTGATAGCACCACTGAACTCCAGCCTGGGCGACAGAGCAAGACACCATCTCAAAAAAAAAAAAAAATCTAACTATACTCTTTGCAAGAGACATACCTAAAGCATAAAACTATAGTAAGGTCGAGAATAAGATAAAAAACAAAGATATCATGTAAATATGAGCCTAAAACATCCAGCACAGGTATGTTAATATTAACATCAGACATACCATATCATAAAGTCAAATATTCATTACTAGATACAAAGAGAAACAGTCATAATAATTAAAGTCTCCATTAATCAGGAAGACCTACCAGTTTTAAATCTGTGTGGCCCTGACAACACAGTCTCAAAAATTTGTAAATAAAAACTGACAGAACTGGAAGGAAAAATGAGACAAATCCATAATCATAATGAAATTGTGTAATTATCTCAGTGATGAATATAACAACCAAAAAAAACTAGTAAGAAAGCAGATATAATATGCTTACCAACTCAGCTAAACAAAATATGTAGTATAGTACATTGAACCCAATTATTTCCAGGCACATAGGAATATCTGAGAAAACTTACATACCATATTCTGGGCTATAAGGCAAACCAGCAAATTTCAAAGGATTAAAATCATAGAAAGCAAGATCTTTGGGCAATATAATGGTCCTGAAGAATAATAAAACAAGAAAATATGCATATGTTTAGAAATGTTTAAATGTTCTTCTAAATTACCTAGGACTCAAAGAAAAAACCATAATGGAAATTAGAAAGTATAACAAACAATAATGAAAATGCCTTAAATCTAACTTTGTATGATGTAGTTGAGGCACTGTTTACAAGAAAATATATCACTTTAAACACACATATTAGAAAACAAGAAAAAGCTGCAAATTAATAAATTAAGTATTCATCTCAGATTAGAAAGAGAACAGCTATAATAAAGGAAAATTATGAGCCAATTTCACTCACGGGCACAAATGCAAAAACTCCAAACAAAATATTAGTCATCAGGGCGGGTGTGGTGGCTCACGCCTATAATCCCAGCACTTTGGGAGGCCGAGGCGGGTGGATCACCTGAGGTCAGGAGTTTGAGACCAGCCTGGCCAACATGGTGAAACCCCATCTCTACTAAAAAATACAAAAATTAGCCAGGCATGGTGGCACATGCCTGTAATCCCAGCTACTCTGGAGCTTGAGACAGGGAGAACTGCTTGAACCCAGAAGGAGGAGGTTGCAGTGAGCCGAGATCATGCCACTGCACTCCAACCTGGGCAACAGAGCAAGACTCCATCTCAAAATATATATATATATATATTTTATTGTTATTCTGCTTTTTATGCTAATCTCTCCTTTAGAAATTTTCTATACAAACATCCATTACTTTAGAGACCAGGAAAAATATTTTTGAATTAATCATTAATATTCTGATGGCTCATCTTTTTGAGATCCACTAGTTAATAAATGTCAAGAAGAAAAGAACAAGGTCTGGCTCAGAATAGCCATTTTATCTGAGTAATATAAGGATACAAGGCCTTATTTGTCTCAGTGTCTCTACTGGGTTGACTGAGAACAAAGAAAGGGTGAATAGGAGTAGAAAAAGATTTACAAAGATAGGAATGTGATAATAGCAATTTGTAGGCTTTTCCCCAAACATTAAGGGAGCGATCTCATACACAAATGCGTCTATAAATAGAATCCATATTGCACTTTAATGAATAATTTAAAACCACTCTGCAAACAGGGTTAAGAAAACAGGAACCTAGATGCTCAAAAATCAATAGTTCTGTCCTATCCCAACCTGGTGAGTTACAGAAACAGACGTCTAAGTTTTATATTATTTTTTAGAAATGTTGGAAGATAGATGGTTAAGCACAAAAAGACTTAAAAACATTTACTACCTTTGAGCTAATAGTTCTACCTTTAGTAAAAATTTAGAAGCAATCAGTTATACGCACAATGATTTTTGTATAGGATATTTTTCAAAGCATTATTTATTAATGATGAGTATTTTAAAGCAACATAAATGTCTAGCTATAGGGAAATGGTTCAATAAACTGGGACACTTCGGAATAGTATGCAGCCATTTGAAATCATATTTTGGAAGAACACATTATAAGACAAGGAAATGCTCATGATCTAGTAAAAGGAAAAATACTGCTTCAAAAAACATACTTCAGAATGAATCCCAACTTTAGGACATGCATATCATACAAAAATATAAGTAGGAAAAAACACTGAATATCCTTTTGTGGTAAGATTACAGATAATGGTGATCTTCTACTTTATACTTTTCTGTTTGTTCCAATTTTTCTACACAAAATATTTGTATTACTTTTATAAATAGAAAAAACATCATATAAAAGAAAATAAATAATAAACTGATTACCTTAAATAGAGTCAAACACCCTTCATCAACCCAAATCCACTTCTAAGGGGAGGTCAGTAGAAATCAATACACCAGTTTTCTATTGCCACATAACAAACTATCACAAATTTAACACCTTAAACCAATATGTGTTTAATATCTCACAGTTTCTGTGAGTCAGGAATTTAAGCAGGCTTAACTGGGTCCGCTGCTTAGGGTCTCACAAGGCTGCATTCAAAGTGTTAGCCAGGCTGTGTTCTCACCTGAAGGCTTGACTGAGGAAGAATCTGTTTCCACGCTCACTCAAGATTATTGACAAAATTTGTTTCCTTGTGCTATTGGACTGAGTGCCCCCAGCTTCCAGGATGAGGCAGATTCTACCACCCTGCCCCATCTGAAATTAGGTACGGCCAGAATGACTCCTTCTGGCCAATGAAATGTCAGCAGAATGGACTGGCGACCCTTCCAAAGTGATTAATTGCTACTGCAAGTGGCTCCATGTTTAAAAAGGTCCAGATCCAGACCATCTAAGAATCGATTTTGCCAAATTTCCAGGAAACAAAAATTCCTCCCTTTCCAAAACTATTACATTTGGGAGGCCAAGGTGGGAGAATTTCTTGAGCCCAGGAGTTCAAGACCAGCCTAGGCAACATAGCAAGACCCTTATTCTACAAAAAGAAAATTTAAAAATTATCTGAGCATGGTGGTTTGTGCCTATAATCCCAGCTAATCAAGAGGCTAAGGCAAGAAGATCACTGGAGCCCAGGAGTTCAAGGCTGCAGTAGAATATGATAGCACCACTGAACTCCAGCCTGGGCGACAGAGAGAGTCCCTGTCCCCAGAAAGAAACTATTACAAAGATGATGAAGTATCATGTTGATACCAAATCTGAATAAAGGCAATACAAGAAAAGATTATCACTGGTCAACACCTCTTATGAATATATATGCCAAAATCCTAAATGAAATATTTGCACATTGGGTCCAATAATTTAGGCTGGAGTACAGAGGCATGATCACAGTTCATTGCAGCTTCAACCTCCCAGTCTCAAGTGATCCTTCAACCTCAGTGCCCCAAGTACCCAAGTCGCTGGGACTACAGATGCATGCCACCATGCCCAGCCAATTTTTTTTCTTTAGTTTTTGTTTGTTTGTTTGTTTGTTTGTTTTTGTAAAAATGGGGTCTCACTATATTTCCCAGTCTAGTTTTGAACTCCTGGGCTCAAATGATCCTCCAGCCTCAGCCTCTCAGTGTTGGGATTACAAGTGTGAGCCACCACACCTGGCTCGATAATATTTTTTAATGTAGTACATCACAGTTTCTCCCAGGAAATCAATGATTACTTAAATTAAAAGAATAAAATATTTCATCTCAATCACAAGTTTTAAGAAAAGCATAAAATTATCTAAATAAGTACACTGTATAGAAAGCCATTTGAGAAAATTCAAAATCTATTCATGATTTTTTAAAAAAGCTTTTATTAAACTACTAGTAAATGTGATCATCCTTAACCTAATAAAGGAATCTACCAAGAAAAAAAAATAACAAAGTTCACAATTAAGTCTTTCACAGCATTTCTTTTAAATGAAAAACAATATAAGGATAATCTTACCACAATCTCCATGCAACTTTCTCTAGTGGTCCAAGCAAAGGAAAAAAGACAAAAAAAAAAGCTCAATAAAAGATTTAAGAACTAGGGAGAAAGAAATTAAGTTATCATTAGGTACATAAAGAAACCAGAAACTGATCCACGCATTTGTGAAATCTGATGTGTTTCAAAGGTACCACTGCAGATCACTGGGGAAAGGACTGTACTCAATAAACAATGCTGATACAATTGGTTATCAATTTGGAAAAAAAATTAAAATTGGATCTCTATCTCATACTCCACACAAAAATAAGTTCCAAGTAGACTATAAAAAGCAAATATTTAAATATTTTTTAAAGAGGAGGATCTATTATGACTGATATGGTTTAGCTGTGTTCCCACCCAAATTTCATCTTTAATTCCCATGTGTTATGGGAGGGACCCAGTAAGCAGGTAATTGAATCATGGGGGCAGGTCTTTCCCATGCTGTTCTTGTGATAGCAAGTAAGTCTCACGAGATCTAATGGTTTTAAAAAGGGGAGTTTCCCTGTACAAGCTCTCTCTCTTCTCTTGTCTGCTGCCATGTGAGATGTACCTTTCATCATCATCACCTTCCACCATCATTGTGAGGCCTCCCCAGTCACGTGGAACTGTAAGTTCATCAAACCTCTTTCTTTTGTAAATTGCCCAGTCTCGGATATGTCTTTATCAGCAGCATGAAAATGGACTAATACAATGACCTTGGAGTAACACAAGATTTCTTAAATCAGACTTAATCACCATAAGCCATAAGGAAAAGATTGATAAATCTGACTACATTAAAACTGAACATCTGTTCATCAAAACAGCATATTTAAAAGGATAAAGAACGGGATACAAATATAATCTAGAATATGTAAAAGAACTTCTAAAAAGCTATAAAAAGGATAATCCAGACAATAAATGGATAAACAATATAAGAATACAATTTTTAGAAGAAGTTCAAGTAGCCAAAGTATGGGTGGAAAATCCTCAAACTCACTAGCCAAGGAAATGCTAATTAAAATAGTAAGATATTTAATATTTACTCAATTGACAACAATTAAAACATCTGAAGATACAAAGGATTAGTGAGGATGTAAAGAAACTAATCTCTGGAAAGTAATCTGACAACAACTATGAGGTTGGAATTGGGCCTAGCCTATGACAACACAATCTCAGTGGTAAGTATATACCTGGTCTTCTCTTTCCCACGTGTCCAACACAGAGGAAAGATGACCCAGTGGGATATGGCAATTGGGAAGGGTAGAGGCTGTGGAAGCTGCTCAGAGAGACTGTAAGTGGGATCTGGGCCAAATAAGACAATATCAGATGCCAGTCTTGCCTAGGAGGTGAAATAGAGAATAGAACTATGCTTCTCTGGAGTGAATTCTCCCCAAGTGGCAGCTCCATCATTTTATCTTCTGAAACCAATCTAATCATGTTATTTCCTCCTTAATTTTGTCAGCTAAGACTGCCAAATGAAGAGCCTCAGCTTGTATCAGTTTCTTACTGCTGTTGGAACAAACTTCCAGACACTTAGTGTTTTAATACAACAAACATTTACCTTACAGTTCTGGAGGTCACAAGTCAGACAAGGGTCTCACTGGGCTAGAAATCTAGGACTGCATTCCTTTCCCAAGTCTCTAGGGGAGAGAATCCCTTTTCTTGCCTTTTCCAAAGGCTTCCCACATTCCTTGACTAGTGCACACTTCCATCCTCAAAGCCAGCAATGGCAGTTAAGAGTCTTTCTCACTTCACATCACTCTGACGCTGACTATTCTGCCTCTCTCTTCCACTTTTAAGAACCCTTGTGATTACTCAGAGCCCACCCAGATAATCCAGGATAATCTCCCTATTTTAAAATCAGCTGATTGGCAACCTCATTCCATCTGCTGCCTTAACTCCCCTGCCATGTAACATAACATAGTCCTGAGATTAGGATGTGGACAGCTTTGTGAGCCATTATTCTACCTACCATGCAACTCCTCCTCCACTTTCGCCCCCCTCCATCTCCAACAGAGTTCCAACCATTTCACAATGCCCCTAACACTTCCAGCAGGGTCCCAACTCCTTTACTATGCTTCCGTACCTCCAGCCTCCACACCACTACGCACTCTGTACTCCGGTTATTCCAACCTTCCAATCTTTTTCTAATAAATGTATACCCAATCCATGCCCAATTATAACTCATGCCCTAGGGCCCAGCCCAAAGACTACCTCCTCTCTAAAGCTTTCCCTGATTCTCGGCCCAAATGAATCGCCCCTCAACACATTTGCCTGGCTTTCTATGTATCCCAACTGCAGCACTGACTATGGCCCCCTGTAATTATATGTTTACATGTTCCTTCCTCAATCTGAACTGGTGAGCCCTTCAATAAGAACTCTGTCTCATTCCCCCATGGGTTCCCAGGTCATAGCATAGGAAATGGCAAAGAGTAGGCAATCAGGGAGTATTTCTGAAGCTTGGATGAGGCAGAAGGAAGTTTTCCTGAGTTTCTGTCAACAAAAGAGATGTCAAAAACTAACCTGGGTTAAGTGTACAACAAATGGGGCCAAAGCATTAGTTTAGATGACTGTAACAAAAAGCACCTCAACAATCCACTGCTTAGCTTGATATACAATTTACTACCACGTGCAACAATCTCTGTACCACAAGTGATATCTATCATTTTTTTTTTTACTGCTAACCTGTGGGGCAATTCTAAAGTTACTGACAAAATTAACTTCAAGAGAAAGAAAAGACTCATGTAAAATGATTTACAAAAATGTCCTCAACATTAGAGAAAAGAGAGTAGACAGGGGTCTAACACAACAGGAATGCCTGACAACCACTCACTAGCCCAACACATAAACAGATCCCTTCATCAGGAAAGGCTGAGAACCAACATGCTGGAGAATGCAAAATATGCTACAGTCAACCCTTTTGGGAACAAGTTGCCCCTACGTAGATATATGCCTACAGATGTATTGTCTGTATTGTAATAAAGGCGCTATGGCTGGAATATCCCCTCCAAAACTTATGCTGAAACATAATCCTCAATGCAGCAGTATTGAGAGGTGAGGCCTTTAAGAGGTGATTGGATCAAGAGGGCTCTGCCCTCATAAAATGGATTAATCCATTCAAGGGTTAATGGATTAGTGGGTTGTCATGTGAGTTGGAGCTAGTGGCTTTGGCCCCTGGACCTTAGACTTCTCAGCCTCCATGACTATAAGAAATAAATTCCTTTTCTTTGTAAATTACCTAGTTTCAGGTATTCTGTTATAAGCAAAACAAAACAGACTAAAACAAACTAGTACTTTCTTAAAAGAATGGTTGTTAAGAAAACAGGGTTTCATTTAATGTCAGTGATTTGTTACTTGATGCCCACACTCAAGCAACAAAACTCCCACCTAGAGAGACGGTGAAGACTAAGCAAAGGAAACGGAATGCTGTAGCATAACTATCCTCCTTAAAAAGAAGAATAAGGCCGGGCGCGGTGGCTCAAGCCTATAATCCCAGCACTTTGGGAGGCCGAGACGGGCGGATCACGAGGTCACAAGATCAAGACCATCCTAGCTAACATGGTGAAACCCCGTCTCTACTAAAAAAATACAAATAACTAGCCGGGTGAGGTGGCGGGCGCCTGTAGTCCCAGCTACTCCGGAGGCTGAGGCAGGAGAATGGCGTCAACCCGGGAGGCGGAGCTTGCAGTGAGCTGAGATCTGGCCACTGCACTCCAGCCTGGGCGACAGAGCAAGACTCCGTCTCAAAAAAAAAAAAAAAAAGAAAATGGCTTAAGTGTTTTGAAGACATGCTCCCATTCAACAGAATTTCCCTGATCAAATTGTATTTAATCATATGAATCCTGAAATTAATTTTAAAGTACGCTGGAAAGGAAGTTTGAGCCCCCCGCCCCACGCAAAACACACCCACACACACGCACACCCCCACACACAGCGAAACAGGTGACACGGATTCAGCACCATGGACAGCGGGCCCATGACGCCTTGCCTATGAGAGTCACTGCCACCAGAGATGAGAGCTGAGACATCAGAGCTGCCCCAAAATCTACAGCATTTATTCTAATGTTTAAGTTGGGGCAATTCCAATACACGAGCAAGTACTGTCCTTGGTTATGGCCCAAAGCACAGCCTTCTTCACTGAGAGGATACACAACTTACATCTACTAAAATCTGCTTCAGTGATCACCTTTACAATAAAGCCCTGAGACTTTTGTAAAAATAGAAATGATTCTGCCATTGACACAGGAAGTGAAATAATCAAAACTGATACACAGAATCTAAATTTGAATGGCTAGGTTGGTTCAAGAAGCTCATTGAGACTTTTTCAAATTTATAAATGCAGCATGCTCTCAGCCTCCCTCAGAACAATAGGGTAAAGGACAGCTTCTTCAAAACAGCTAACAATATATAACCATGTGTTGAATTTTTTCTCACAAATAACTAAAAATGTAACCACAAAGCTGTGTGGATTTTTCCCCACCTTGAGTATTATAAAGGTATCTGGGAAAGAGATGTTTTGAGGTCCAATATCACCGCTAATCAGCAGCACCTGTGGCAATACCAGCCAAAAAGCACTGAATTCTAGAGAGTCCATTTTTTTCAGTTATAAAGACCCCATTTACCATCAAAACTTTTTCAAAACCTTATAATATTGAGTATCAACTAAGAAAATACGTGAAGCTATGTAAGTTCTAAAACATTTGTAATGAACTTGCACTGTATAAACAACAGCATCTACACACAAGCAAAAAAAAAAATACTACTCGAAAGTGAGACATCAGTTAGTCGGTCACTGCACTTGTGTGTTAAGGCCCCATGTTTTCTGATGGATCTCCAAGTCTGAAAACACCAGAACTATTTCTGCTTCTCTCATGTGAGGATCAATCAGGTCATTTCAGATCTTGCCAATGATCCCTTCAGAGTGCCACTGTTCTGCAAACACTCCTTCTGGGGCTAAAATGAGTATCTCTGACATGCTTTAAGATGATGAATTGTTCTTGAATATGAAGAGGCTGGGAGTTAGTTCTCTTAAATAGGGAAGCACCCTTGCACGCTCCTTTGGGATCCACATCTGAGAAAGTCCAAAGAAAAGAAAAAGGGCAACAGTTTGTCCCTCAAAGTGAGTTCAATTTCGGAGGAATGTGTGAGGGCCTCTGCCAGGGAAATATTTTTGAAATGGGGGGAGTCTGTAAGTTACCCAGTCAAATCTCTAAAGGCCTCTCCGCAAGGCCCTGCTGCCCAGGATTCCTCCTGGGGAATCTCAAACTCTACAAACACTCAACAACTAAGAGTGCTATGGGCTCACACAGAGGGCTAACAAGACCTGCAAATCCAGGCTGCTCTGAAGGACGGTGGAAGATAATCAACCCCGAGCCACGAGATTGAGGACCCGACTTTGGGTTAACTTTCCAATTTCTTAGGCCAGTATTTCAGAGTAGGGGGAGGGGATACTGGAAAACACCACCAGGCAAAAAGAAAAAACAAACTCTTTCGCAAAACAAGACTTCCAATTAGAACACGTGTGGGGACAACAAGAAACACGTTCTAACCACCCTCCAAATTAAAACAAAACAGCCACCAACAAGAGGGACCTGCGCGCGCCCCACCGCCCGCGCGCGGCTCTCCGCAGGGTCACCGAGGGGTGAGGCCGCGCTCTCCCGGCGGCCGTCCGGGGGGGGAGTCCCCGCGCCGCGCCCCGCCGCCCTCCAGCCGCCGCGGCCGCTCCGGGGTGCTCCCCAGATCTCTTCTCAGTCAAGAGGTGAAATTTGTGCCGTTTTGAAACTGAAGCCTCAAGTAGTCCAGACGTTTTCTGACCCACGTCCGAGGCGCTCTCGGCTTCCCGCCGCAACTTCCGAATTTGGGGAAGGGGCGGAGGCGGGCGGGCCAGGCCTGGCGACCGCACCTTGAGGGAGCGCGGGTCCCCTCGCTGCCCCGGGCCGCCGCAGGCGCCGGCGGCGGTCGGGGACGGCTCTACCCAGCCCGGGACCCCCGCCCGCCCCGGCTCGGGCGAAGTTTGCCGCGGCCCGGGGTCGCCCCGCCACTCGGCCTCCGTCGGGGACTCGGTCCCCGTAACCCGCAAGGGCGCCCGACCCCGACCCCGCCCGCCATCGCTCACTCACCTGCCCTGCGCCGGACGGCGAGCCCGCGGGCCGGCGGGGAGAGGCCGGGAGGCCCGGGCGGGATCGGGGCGGGGTCGGGGCGAGGCGGGCGAGGCGGGTGAGAAGGCGGCGGCGGAGCCTAAGTCGGCCGAGGCGGCGGCGGCGACCGCGGCTGAGGCGGCTGAGGCGGCTGAGGCGGCGGTCGCGGCTTCAGGCGCTTCAGCCGGAGCGCTGCGCGCGGCGCGGGCCCGCCCCTCTGCGCCGCTAACCAATCTAGCGCCGGGCGCCGCCGCCGGCCCCGCCCCCGCCTAAGGGCAGGCTCGCGAAAGCGGGCGCCGCGGGCCAATCAAACGGCGGAACATCGACCGGCACGGCCAATCCGAGCCCGGGAAGTTCTCTGGAAAAAGCCAACTCGAGTCAAAGGGGCGGGGGTGGGGCCGCGGGCGGGGCGGGGACTAGGCCCAAAGACGCGCAGGGCGGGGCCGAGTATTGGGCGGGGAGGAGGCGGGGCCTCGAAAGGGCGTGCTAGTCACTAGTAGTGGGCGGGGTCGTAAGCGGGACATTGAGCGGGCGGGGCAAGAATCGGGGCGGGGCCCTAATGAGTGAAGCGGGGCGGGCACGGGCAGTAGGAGGGGCGGGTCATCATTTGGGGGGGGGCGGGGAAGGGGCGGGGCAGGGGGCGGGGCTGAGTTCGAGGAGCCAGGCCGGGACGAGGCCTAAGTCGGGGCTGGCGGGAGACGGGCAAGAGCAGTGGACGGGGTTCGGGGTTGGGGGATTCCTGTCCTTGACGGGGCGGGGCCCAGGCTGGGGGCGGGCCTGTGGTGGGCGGGGCCACGGATGGGCGGGGCGAGCCATGGTAGGCGGGCCAGGCCTGTGGTGGGCGGGGCAGGCCTGTGGTGAGCGAAACCTTGGTGGACGGGGCGGGTCTGTGGTGGACGGGGAGGGTCCGTGGTGGGCGGGGGCGGGCCCGTGGTGGGCGGGCCGGACTGGAGGCGGGTGGCCGTTGAATTCCCGGCCCGGCCGCAGCTCCGAGGGTATCCCTGCAGCTCCCGCTTCCCGTTCCCTGCGGGCCTGAGGCTGGGGCTCCGAGCGCCCCGTGAAGGGCGGGTCCTCTCGGGCTGGGCCCAGACACCGCCCGCCCCACGTTGGTCCCGCGGCCCCGTCCCCTCCGCCCGCCCGGCGTTCGCGTGCCCTGGCCTGGGGCGGGGCGTTGCCGGGCCCCGCGGGCTGCAGGGCGAGGCCGCCCTTTCTCTGGGCTGGCTCCGGGCTGTTCTGCTCCGCGCCGTTTTCCCGGTACTTCCCGCGGAGCCCGCCTCGCTGTGCGTCCCCGCCCGGGCGTTTCTTCCGCGGCGCTGAGCGCCCGCCCCGGCCTCGGGCAAGGGCAGCTGGACGCCCCCAGGACCAGGGCGCTGGGGCCGAGATGCGTCCTCCGCAGTCGCCGCGCCTGGGCCCGTTTCCCCGCGGGTCCTCGCCGGGGTGGGGGACGCCTCTGGGCGTCCGTGGGGATCTGGGGTGGGGGGCGGCAGAGCAGGAGGTGGGGGGCTGAGCCGGAGAAACGTCCTCGCCCCGCCCAGGACCTCGGACACCCCAGAACCTCAGGCCGGCAGCCAGCGGCAGGAATCGCGCCCCAAAGCCCGGGGTCCGCGCCCGTCCGCCTGCCGCGAGCGCCAGGGGCTGCCGGGTCACCGGATGCGGCCTGGAGGCAACGTCACAGGCCCCACGCACCCCCGGAGCTGGCGCGGGGACAGGGGTTCGGGATGGACGGAACCCACCCAGGGAACGCTCCGGCCGTCCACGCCAGGCGCAGGGCGGCCGTCAGCTGGGGTTGGAGGTGGGTCAGGAAGAGATGTGTCCTTTTGTCTCCAAATGTCGCTTGTGTCATTAAAAGAAAACCTTAAAATAGAGAGAAAAAAAAAAAAAAAAAAAAGCCTGGGCTGGCGTGAGGAGGGGCCGTCCGCGAGCTACGGAGGCCGAGTCTGCGGGGAAGGGAATGTGGAACGGGGGGCGCTTGGCGAACCCGTGCTTTGGACGGGCCTGGCGGTTTCGGGGAGAATGAGAATGGAGGAGAGGGAGGCCGAGGCCCGCAGCCTGGTGGGAATGCTGAGAAGGACGCTGTGGACAGGACCTTACTGGAAATGAACCAGAAGGGATGGTGGGCCGGGTGCGGTGGCTTGCCCCTTAATCCCAGCGCTTTGGGAGGCCGAGGCAGGAGGATCGCTTGAGCCCAGGAGTTGGAGACCCGCCTGGGAAACATCGTGAGACTCTGTGTTTTTAAAAAAGGAGGAGGAGAATGGATACTGGGCAGCCTCAGCCTCACCTGGACTCTACGGGCAGGGGGCTGGAGGGACCGAGGGCTGCTGTGCTGGAGGCTGGAGCCGGCGCCAGGGCCTGGGCAGAACGCTGTCAGCGCCCCCAGATTACAGGCTGCCAGCCTCCCACATCGCGGTCCTCTGCGGGAGCCTGCGGCCTCAGCTGCCTGCCCCGCCGGCTGAAAGACACAGTTAGTCATTAGGAAAGTAATGATAGTGTTTTCAGGGCAGCGTGTTGGACCCTAACGACTTTCTATTATTTCCAGTTCCTGCCAACCCTGCGAAGAAAAAAGCAGCTCATCTCTCACGCCCCGCCCCTTGACACGCGCTGATCCGGCCTCGTTCTGGGTTCTCCTGGAGCCTGCAGGGCAGCCCCGCCCCAGGTGGCAGCAGCTGGGCCTGCAGCGTGTCCCTCACGGTGCCTGGCCTTCAGGTCCAGAGTTTCCTGCGTCCCTGAGCTCGAAGTGCGCTGTCTCCACCCTCTCATGGTCGTCAGGGTGCTAGTCCCAGCAGAAGTGCACCCAGGGGTTCGCATTTATAAATAACTCCAGGGTGTCTTGCTGTGAGTATGGAAATCGGGAAGGCAGGTTATCATCTGCTTGGAATGATGTCAGATCCAGCCCCAGGAAGTCTCCCAGCACCCAGCCTTTGTGGGCTGGGACATCTAGAGGGGTAAGGGCGGGGGCCTTCTGTAGCTCCACATTAGACGGCTAAAGTTTGGGGAAAGCAGTTACACACAGAAAGCAATCACGGTGGTAATTAGCGTCAAAATCCTGCGAGATGTTTAGGCCTCCCAGGAGCCCTGGAGAAGCCCAGTCCTTCCACACAACCCCAGCACTCCTAGTGGCAGGGCCTCCATCCCCCTGCTGGGGAGGGAGATGGGAGTCTGGGTGGAGTGTGTGGTCTCTGTGGCCTTCAGCAGGACTGCACTTCAGGCTGAGCCTTTCCTCGGGGAGAATTCACACCTTTACCTCAGCCTGCAACCCCAGAACACATGTTACCTAGGGGCAAGTGAATACTTTGCCCTCCTGTCCTCTTCACAAAGCACTGGGGCACAAGCCCCTCTTCCAGGGACCAGCAGCACCCAGCCCCTGCTTCCCCAGGCTCCTGCCCTGCACAGGGACCACTGCCACTGCCCACCAAAAGCCGCTGCGGGGGGTGGGGCTGGCTCAGCTGAGCTCACAGAGGATCCTCTGATGGCCAAAGTACTGGAGGGGAAATCAGAGACCAAGAAGCCAATTCCTATGCCAGCTGCCCTGGTTAGGGAAATACAGAAACTAAAAATACTTCCACTTCCGCTTCCTCCTTTTTATATCAGCCTCATCATAAATGCACCTGACCTAACTTACCTGCTGCCGTGGTGTTTGTACTTGGATTAGATGAAGCAGCTCAGGGGTTCCCTCATGCCCTCTCCTCTGTCCCCCTGCTGAAGAGGCAGCTCCCACATGTGGCACTGCCTGACTGGCTGCTGGCCCTGGGCCTGGGACACCTGCAGATAGACAGCAAGCCATGGCCAGCGGGCTTGCAAGGTGCCCCCAGCTTGGGTGATGGTGACACCCAGAACAGGGCACTTCCTGAAAGTGTGCTCTGGAAGGGTAGCGGGCATGGGTGGAGCATTGGAAAGAGACACCCAGGACAGGCGGAGACAGGCATCCGGCGTAGGTGAGGCTGCAGCCACCTCTCCTCTTCAGGGCTGGCAAGGTAACCCTTGCCCTGTGCCCCACAGCTGCCCTGCTTTCCAGGCGTCTCCCAGAAGCACACTCCGCACTGCTTCTGCATCCTGGCCACTCCCTCAGTGCCCAACCCCCTTCCCCAGCGCAGAGTGAACACAGAGAGGATGGGGAGTGCCTGCTCTGCCAACGTGAAGGGCTGGCAGTGACACCTGTCCCTATCATAGGCACAAAAAGTTATCAATGTTGGTAAGTTGGATTCAAGCCATGCATGGGAGCAGATGGCTCTGCCCCGAAGGGTAAAACATCGCAGAAGTGATTTGGAGTCTCACACAGAGCAGCCCATCAGCTTCTCTGGCGGCGTGCCCTGGTTTTAGCAGAAAATAATCACAGGGTCTCTAATAGCTGGCTGTGGAGAAGCGCTCAGAACTCCTCCCATGGCCCTCATCATGCCCAATGGACGAGGGGTGGGCCCTGTGTCCTCTCAGCCCTTCATGGTAAGAAGCAAATGAATCCTTGGCCTGCCCCCCTCAGACGGGCATCTCCGCAACTGGGATAGACATCTCAGGCCCTGCAGCCCATGAGTCACTGCTGACAGAGAGAGACAGAGAGGGAGGAAAGAGCTCCTGCTGCCACCCTGGTGCCCTTGGGTGCTTCTCAGCCCTGGGGAGCAGTCCTCCTCTGCCCTGGGCCCCTCCCCCACTGCATGCAGAGCACTCCCCCCTGGTCTTTTTTATATGCAAGGTTTCTTATATTTTGCATAAAGAAGAAATGCACATACATCACACATGCACCAGAAACGTCACGGGTCATCCAGACCTTCCTTTTATTTTGGGAAGACTTTCAGCTCAGAGGCAGCCAGAACTCCGCCCCTTCTCTGTGTGCCTCAACGGGCTCCATTAAGACTCTAAAATTAGAACAACTCTTTGTTTTGGTGCCGAGCTACCACGTCACTCCCACCCTCCCTCCAACCTCTGCTGGGTTCTCAGGAAGAGACTGGAGGGGAAACGCAAAGCTTCCAAATCCCGCACAGAAAGTCCACCAGCTGCTGGGCAGACCAGCATGGGTGGGGTGTGCTGCAGACGCCCTTGCTTTGC